ATAAATGAGGCTAAAGATGCAAACACCATTGAAGGATGGCATTACCCAAATTCCTGCTAAGATGGAAGGATGAGTTTTGATAAACTGCAGTGTACTGGGTACCCAGAATTAGAAGAGAGGGAAATCCATTGGCCAGCAAATTGACTATAAAGAAAGAGGGCTATTTGACACTAAGACAAATAAGTGATTCCTTCACAGTATGAAGGTGGCCTGTTTTTGCTTTTTTCATTTCTTCAAAGCACTTGATTTGGTGCCAGGCACATATTTACCAATTCAGATGGATTTATTATCAGCAAAATGGGGCAGTTACGTGAGCTGTCAGTAGAAACTTCACATTATATACTGCAGGAGCGTATTGGCTCCTTCCCTCATTCTTCATCTAGTCTATTCCCCTTTTAAAACTCGTATTACACGTTCCATCTCCCAGGAAGACTTCCCACAGGCCCATGATGATGCACCGCCTTTTGCCAATATTCCCAGTGTACCTATTCATACTGAGAGCACAGCACTTTCCTCTCTCTTACTGTGAATTTGGCTTGCTCTTTGCCTCGTCAGACCATAAGCTCCTAAAGCTGGAAAAAAATGCCTTATTTAGTTTTAACCGGTGTCTAGTTTCCTAGTTGAAACATTGCCTATTGAATAAATGAACAAACTCTTTAATTACTATGACTGATAAAAGGAAAAGACTGGATTGCAGTGATTGGTTTAGCCACAAGACAACATGGAGAAGTTCCAGGAAAATTGATAAGCCTGCTTTATTAACATAATGCACTTTAAAAAGTCAAATCTATTCTGAATTTAAACAGTGCTGTATAGTATTTTTGTCAGAGTTCCTGGTCCATAACATTTACATGATGAACTTGCAGCAGAAGAATCTTGGAGCCCAGATGAACTTTCTCATGATAATTGAAAATGCCCTGGAGAGTGTTGCCTTCTGAAATGCCTCCTAAGTCACAAGAAAAGTAGGCGGTTGAGGGCAACTGTTGCCCAGGAGCTAAATCACCTGCATGTGTGGATCCCTGTCCCTTGAGATGGTAGCTACTGGAAGCCAGAGACCAAACTTTCAACAAGATTAAAGAGACGCTATTAATTGCTATCAATCATGGGTCAACAAATTAAATTGCATCTGCAACTGCATCTCTGAAAGGTCTACATGAGAAATGCAGTTAATGGGTCTGGCTGACCCAATGTTGTGATTAATTAAAAAGGGCATGAAACCAAAAAACAAACAAAGGCAAAGAAAAATGTGATGGGAGCAGGGTGGACATCCTTGGAAATCTCAAATCAAAAGTCTTTCCCAGGACCTAACTTGTCATTTAATTCTATGTCCTGGGTATGTATGTATGTGTGTGTAGGTAAACAAACAAGCAGAGAAGGCTAAATTAATTCCTTGCTTTCAATTTCCAGAATGCTGATGAACACCAATATGAAAATTAAACCAGTATTTTTATATTCTGTGGAGAGAGGTGTTAGAAATGTATAAACAATTTGTATCACACTAGGAAAATAAATTGCTTCACTATGGTAAGAGTAATATTTGCCACAAACTGGAGAATAAATCTGTGACTCCTGCTATTCTAACCTTTCACTTCCATTTCAAGAATACTACAATGAGACATAAGACCAGTGGAAAACTTTGGCTCTTCCAATGGCAGTTACTCAAACCGAGACAGAAACAGCACTGGCAAAGAAAAAGTGGGCTGTCCTGGAGATAAGCCTATCTCAGGTTGAGCCTCAATACCTGATATTACTAGTACCTTCTGATGCCCAAGTCCTAAGATGAGATTATGTGCTAACACCTGCAAGGAAATCATGGGTTCCACATTTTTGGTGGTGGTTATTGAGCATCAATATCCTTCTAATCACCTGAACTAGAAGCTTGGACTATTTTAATTCTTGAATCCCCAGTGGACTTGCCACAAAGTCCTTTTGCCTCAACCTATCTGTTCGACTTTCACCATGACAGGATCAGATCCTCGTTATTCCTTCCTTGACGTTTGTAATGCCTCTCATTAATGTCCTCCTTTCTCTCCAGACCCTGATCCATCCTTCATGCTGCTGTAAGAATTATTACTCCAAGGGCACAAATATGGCTATCTCATCTTATTTTTTGATGTAAATAAATGCACAGTATCAATAAAAACCAAATCCGATTTTCATAGCATGATCTTCCAGGGCCTAACCATTGGGTTTCCTTCCTGGATACATCTCTCACCATATCCCTCTATCTCCAACCTCACAGTCACATTACACCTGACTGCTTGTCACACTCCAAACAGACTATTCATTTTTCCTATGCTACAATGTCATCCCCTAGATGCCTGCTCAACTTGTGCTCAAGCTACAAGACCCCAATACAAGATCCCAAATCCAGGTTACTTTATTCATGAAATCTCTTACGTTACCAGCAGTCCTGATAATGATAACTAACCAAAATAAGCTCTTGTTATGTGCCATGCTCTATTCTAAGCTTTTTTATGGGTAGTATTCTGTTCAATTTTTACAACCCCTTGGTTTCTAATTGTATGAAATGGAGAAAAATCATAAAACTTCTCTGAATCTCAGCATTCCAGTCTGCAAAATGGGAATACCAGTGTATAATTTCATAGTGGTTTTGAAGATGGTTGAATTAATGAATGTGAATCATTGTCTCTTGTCAAGTAGCCAATACAAGTGTCTGGCACACAGAAAGGGCTTGAGAAAGGGTAGCTAAACTTTCTATCCAAGTTCCTCCCTAAACCTACCCACCTCACACAACTATTCATTGGGAAAGTTTTATAACTCAATTCTTAAAGAATAGCTTTCCTAAAAGTGCTTCTACTCAAAGCCAGGTTGGTAGTGCAAGTATTGGGATTAATTAAGTTGGAGTTTGGGCTTCAAAGAACCATGAGTTCAAGATTTTCAAAAGTTAAAAAGAAGGCCATCAAATCACTGCCACAACTGGCAATATTTGAAGTGTAAAACAAATTTTGAGTACTTAAAAGAAATTCCTTTAGTTCAACTCATTTAACTCTTACTCTATGAAAGGCATGATGGTACTAGCTATATCTGTTCATTAAAAGATCAGTGTGCCTTCTGGATGTATAAGTTCGGTCAGGAAGAACACGTATTCACACCAGACAATACAGTTTGAGGCTCCCTGATAAGACTATCACGCCAATTCAAGTTATAAATCCCTTACAAATGTGGTAAGAAGGTATAGTGAGGTTGCTGGCTCAGACAGAGTATTTGTCTTTCAAAGTCATGAAGGTATTTTCTTGAAAAGAGTAATAGTCTCAATGTGGTAAGCCCTCACATAACAACAAACCCAGGACTCTAATCACAGTTCATAGCTTTCTCTGCTATGCTTTGAAGTGCCCTCCCATGAAACTTGAATCAGAAATGAACTGTAAACAACCCTTTGCAAGGGACATGGGGAGCAGAGAATTGGACGTGCAGGAAATTGAAAAGCAAGAAAAATCTAATCTTGTTTTAAGAAAAGGTTGGTGAAGTGGGGGTGCATATACGTATGTGAGGGGACTCCATGCTGACGTTTTCTTAGTGCTTGACTTTTCCCTTTCTTCCTCCAATGATGTAGAAGATGATGGCAATTTATAAAATATTGTTCAGTTTTGCTCTGTGCCAGGCAGCATGTTTGTCTCAAAGGGAAGAAAAATAACAGTTTGCTCTTATTCCCCAAAGAGAGTTTACACACATATTAAAGGCAGCGTCCTCTGGGTGCTGGTGGTCCACAGCAGTTCTTGCTCTGAGGCTCTTTGTTGCCCCTCGGAGGTCATTTGGTAGAAAGCCTCTTGCCCACTGCTCACCCTGCTCAGTGTCTAGGGGGGAGTTTAACATGGAGCTTTAAAAGATTAATTTTCCCAGCACAAACCCTCTAATGACAAATTCACGACTCTCTCAGAGTTCACAGCTGTCAGTTGGCAGGGTTAAAGCCCCATTTTGAACTTAGGAGGCATAACAACTAAATGCAAGGTTATGGATGATTTAGATCATGCAAATAACCCCATCCCTCATATCTTAGAAAATCTAAGAAATTTTAAGATGGATTGAATATTAGATGATGCTAAGGAATTCTTAATTTTGTTAGGCTTTGGTAATATAACATGGTTTGTCAAGAAACTATTCTTCTTTTTAAAGAGATGTAGGGCTAGTGTGATACGATGCTTGGGTAAGGGCTGCCTGGGTGGCTTATTTGGTTAAGCATCTGACTCTTGATTTTGGCTCAGGTCATGATCTTTGGGTCATAAGCTGGAGCCCTGCATGGGGCTCCATGCTCAGTGTGGAGTCTGCTTGAGATTCTCTCTCTCCCTCTCCCTGTGTTCCTCCCCCTGCTCATACTCTCTCTTTCTCTCTCTCTCAATTAAATAAACAAAATCTTCAAAATACTCTGGGGAAGAAAAAAATAGATGAAGAATTATGCAAAATTTTGATAACTGTTGAGCTTGGGCAATGGGTAGATGGAGGTTCCTTGTACTATTTTCTTGATTTTTAGGTGTATTTGTGTACGAAATTCCTGTGTTGCCATTGATGAAGCTATGACCTTGGGCCAGTCACTTAACCTCTTTGTGTTCTGGTTTCCTCATCAGCAAAGCAGCCATAATAAGAACCCCTCCCTGGCAGGCGTGCTGTGTGGCTTGAACAGGATGCTATGGGTTCGGCCCCCAGCACAGGGCCAGCCAACAGAGCAGGCACTCGATAATTATAGATGATCATTAGTGTTGTGTATGGATGCAGGGTCAGGAAAATATTTTTCCTATCACTTACACTCTCATTGCTGGTTTATTTGAGCTTCCTGTCTGATCCCCAAGTCAGCCTGGCCTTATATTATGAAAAATGAAAATGTACGCAGGCAAATGCTAAAGCTGACGCTTAAATCTAATTGAATATTGCTCTAATGACACATGAACTTTCAGATGATAGAAGTCACCGAGGATTAGTTATTAAGTGATGAGGGTAAAGAGGAGAGAGAATTTTGGAAGGAAAATATACCACAAACAATGTTTGCTGGTTAACACACTTTATATTTAACAAAATAATTTTTTAATAATATAGTCTTTTACACATCAAATATTGTTGCTAGAATCCCCTTTTTACAGTTTAGTGTTTAGTTGTGTTTTTTTTTTCTCACTAGTTTTCAGGCACACCATTTTTCAAAGATTTTAGAAACTGAATCGTTTTAAACAGGCAATAGCTGACAAACAGGATGTTGATCCCTTATTTAAACAAAGCTGTAGTTAAAGCCGAGAACCAAAGACGAGGAGGAATGGGAGACAGAGGGGACAGTGGGGCTGCAAACAAAGCCTTCAAAAGAGAAAAAGAAAATAAAGCAAAACAGATGAGACCAGAACTCTGTTGTTCAGAGTTTGGAAAGAATTTCTCAATGACCTGGGTAGAAGGAAATTGTAAAATGTTTATCGGTTTATGAGAAATTCTGTCACAGTATAGATTCATCTCTCCCTAAAGGGAGAAAAATGTCAGTGCTACAATGTCTTAAAGGAAACAGCTTGTAGTAAAACTCAGAGGAAAAAGAAAATCCAACAACAACAATAAAAAAAAAAATCCCTCTCTCTGGCTGGTAACAGAGACCACAGAGCCGCCTTCATTCAGCAAACTCTCTGAAAAGAGCTTCTTGGTGGATATTACACTCCATTCTAGTAAGTTCTTGCTGCAACTATCACTGTGCCAAGACTTTGATGCAAATTGTTTGAACCCTGGCTCCCCAGTTGCACTCTCTGTTTCCTAAAAAGGACATAGTAACTCCTTAATAATAGATAGGGTACTATGCTACATGGCTCTATTAATGATATTTTCTGGGTTTCAAACCTTATTCCTGTCATTTATTATTATTCTTTCTTTTCAAGAGCGTGGATTTTTTGAAGCTGGCACCAGGCAACCTCAGGGCAAAGAAAGCTCTATAATACATCTCTGTCTAGACACAATCTGAAGTACGGAATGCCTTTACTTTGGAGTGCAGGAGTAAATCATGCAGGATTGTTCATGAATGATTCATGACTGTCTATATGATGTATCCATGGTGGCAACAAAAGGCACCAACCTTGCTGCAAATTGGTGTTCTAAGGGAAGGCGGCGTGATGTTCTTCCTCGGATGGGGCCGGCATGGCCCCATCATACACAAGTGCAGTGTATGTGAGAATTGTCAGGTCCAATGCGTCAACACGTTAATTTTGGAAATGACAACTCTTTCTTGAAGACTGGAAGAGGCTCCAGGGAGGAGAGGCTGACCATTTTAAATGAAAACCCAGTCGATGAGACTAAATAAGTGTGTCTTGAGGGTTGGACCTATGGCAATAGATGCATCAATCCACTGGGAGAAGACTGACCTCGCTCCCTTGAGGCTGCTGATGGCACATGTCCCAAAGGGCTTAGAGGCTCATCAAAGCCACGGGCTCAGCCAGAGCTTACTCAGTATGCCACTCTGGCAGAAACCACCCTGGACTGATTATTCTAAATCATGGATTCTCAAGCAGGCGACATTTTGTCCCCTCCCCACTCCTTGGGGACATTTGGCATGGTCTGGAGACAATCTGTTGTTACAACGAGGGTGTTGCTATTGGCATTTAGTGGATAGAGGCCAACATTGTTGTTAAACATCCTAAAAGATGTGCCGGACAGCCCCCTCCCCGCCGCCCCCCTACAGTGAATCATCTGGCCCAAAACGTCAACAGAATTCAGCTTGAGAAACCTTGTTCTGGAATGCGGCACTCCACGAGAGCTACGGCAAAGCCCAGGCTGGGCTGGGAGTGGAAAAGGAAAGAACACCGGGAATGAAGACAACCTTCAAGTTTCCTCAAGGACCCTGCCAGATCTGCGCCAGGGTTTTCAAGACAGGAGAGCAGGATAAGCAACTAACTATGCCATGTGGTTTCAAGAATGGCCAAATATGCACTTGACTAGAGGTGGCATCCAGATACCCTGTGTATTTTATTTGTTTTGTCACTATACGAGCAGCATTACCAGGGCAACCTTGAGACGCTTCAAAGGTTCACTTTAATTGTTCAGTATCTAATATATACATTTTAAAAAATGTTCAACAAATGGAATTGTATTGTGCAAGACTCACTCTACCCTAATCTTTAATTTAAATCAGCACTTGAGGTGGAAAGAGTGTCCTGAATCTGTGTGTTAGACCTAGGGCTGAGTGGTCATTACTAAAACATGGCAAACACAGTCCCAAACCATAAAGACTGCCTGTGGGTACTCCTGGCTTTCAGCCAAATCTGAACTCAAAAGCCAGGAATTTCCAGAAGGATTCAGATTCACAGTGGGGCTACTCACCCTGGTTCTGGTATGGAGAATGCCAGGTGACAGAGTGGGTGTAGAGTGTTGAGTTACAAACCGAACCAAAATTTGGCATCATGAGAAAGTCGGGTGATTAATGCTACAATTGTGAGTTCCTGGCTCCCTTTGGATGCTATAGTCAAGCTCGTGGTGTTCTTCACGTATTAGTTTTTGATTGGCAGTTTCAAGGTTTTGTGTCTGAAATGTGTGGTTTGTAAGAATTAAATTGTGACCTTCTGCATACTGCACCAAGCACCAGCTCCCCGCGCTGCCCCAACAGTGGGTCCAGCTGTATGTACCCCTTGTTTTCTGAGCCCTGCAGGGCGTGTTTCCCCCGAGGGGAGTGATGGGTTGGATGCATTTGCATCTTCCTGGTCAGGAAGGGTCCTCACCCCTGATATTCCTCTACTAAAGCTTATATGACACCACTCCAAACTTAACTGTGCAGTCAAATCTGGCCCCTTAGACTCTAAATATGAAAAAGAAATTCTACAAGAGAAAAATGCCATGGGTGATGATGTACAGAAGAGTAAAAATGAAGCAAGTCGGCGGACGGTGAGCTGGCAGGCTAGAGGTGTCACCAGAGAAGGAGCCCGTAGAAGGCTGTTTCTTCCTTTTAGTTTCAGAAATCCAGTGGTCAAGTCACCATCAAGCATGGATAATTACAAAAGCGGTTTCGATAGCTATATACTATATATATTTTATATAGCAAGAGAGAAAGAGAGAAATTTCCTCTTAGTAAAATATTCACTTTTGTCAACCCTAAAAGGTTTTGCTGGTGACCCTGTTGTAGCTGGCTGGAGTGTGTTTGTTTTGTTTTGTTTTGTTTCAAACATGTGCAGTGTAGAATCCATAGCATCCTCTCCTAAGAACTCCTCCTCGGTTGGGAATTTGTCCTACACAGTCTGCTTGCCTTGGCATTCGCGTTTTGAACACTGAGCAGGCTTCCACCAGTCCCCGTTGTGACAGTGACAGATGTTACATTCATCCACTTTCACTTCAATGCCAGCCGGGATTATTGTCGTTCCTGCAAAGCAGTTTGGACCTGGAACACACATATACGTTGATTAGTTGATTAAATCTCAGAGGCTCCCTTTTTCTCTTCCCTCCCCAACCCCAGTAAAAAAGCCAACCCCCAAAGCCGGGAATGAGTAGGTCAGACTACTTCTCTCCACAGTTTATTACTAAAATATTTTCTAGCCATCTCCTTTAAATGTAAACCTTCAACCTCTGCTCTTTTGCACACAGCTCATATTCCCTATGTGTATTTTTTTTTTAAAAAAAGATCCAGTGCTCAAAAAATCTTATCTGTTACCGAGTACTTGCAGTTTTCTAAAGTATGATTCTATGGATCAAACTCTATTTGCTTTATCCTCTGGGGTGTAAATGCTGTTGAAGCATCCTCTGAAACTCACGTGGGGGTCTAGCGTGGTCTGCATCAGATGATGGTACCGCATGGCCTGTCCTCTCACTTCCCGTGGAGGGGTAGGTGACAATGAACTCCCTCATTGCCTGGCTTCAGCACCTCCCCAAAGCCCAGTTCCTGGAATCCCCAGCCTGTTTCTTGATAACAATAAATAATTCATGACCAGATGATTTATTCATGTCCCAAACAAGCTTTGTTAGAGGTTCATTTGATTTTTATAAATGGAGCTCCTTTAATCTGCTGGCTATCTATTTTTTTTTTTTTTTTAAGAATGACCTAAATGGTTGGCTTTTGAAAGTCATCAGGAATTTTATTTTACTTTTTCAGATTCAGAAAAGCTTTACTGAAAATGTCACCTGCTCAGTATAGATGGATATTTTTAAAGTTCACCAATCTTAGTTTTTCACTTCTCTTTCTCTCCTTTCCCTTACTTTCCCTTCTTTCCAGTCTGCAAATGCCAATATTCGGTATTGGTGATATTATTTCTCAAAATCGAATGGAACAAAAATTGCTTCCCTAGGTGCAGTGGGGTGGTGCAAATTGCTCTTTCTTTGAAACAATTTGGTGTAAGTCTCCGAAGTACACATTTGGATAAAGAGAGGCCACTTTCCATAACCACTACAAAGTAGCATACATCAATATCAGTACACTACTTTCACTTTCCTACTGCTTGATAAGAATTTACTAGATTATCTTTACCACCAAATAAATGAAATCAAGGGTGATTTGTAGTTCCACTTCATAATTGAAATCTTGTATAAAAATGGCAACTATGAAGTTATAATGCATCCACACAAATCTATTTAATATGCGAGGGCTTTAATCATCCATTGTTTTAGAGCTCCCAGACTTCAGTTGTGGATACACTTGCCAGTGGCCTTTGTATCCTATGCCTTTCCTTCATCTGGTGGTCAAACCTCCCAGGGTGTGTACCTGTGCCTTGTTCTCATGGAGAACCAACCAGCAAGAGTAAGAGGTATATAATGGGTCATCACTGGCAATTAAACAGCTAGTAAACTGTCTGCTTTCACCCAGGATGGTGCTTCTCATTATGATGCTATGGTTATAAGCTCCTGGCCATCCTGACTGCGGATTATTTAAGGATCACTGTTTTAGAATTTAAGTCATTGATTGATAGGTTGAACGGTCTTTGGGGCTACACCTCCCTGGGAAGATTCCACATGAAATCATTAATTTGTTCTGGACCCAGAAGAGAGGGAATCTGCAGAGAACTTGGCAAGGAGCCTTTTTCAGAATGTAGTTGGTTGTCTCATGGCTGTTTTTGACAGACCTCTCTCAGCCCAGCCAGTTCTAGGCCAGCCAGGATCTGGACAGAGCCAAACTAGCTTCAGAAATCAAACGCGATGACCACTACCACCTGTTTGCCTGGAGCCACCCCAGAGGAAGCCGTAGTTTCTCTCTCTACCTCCTCACTTCTAATTAACTCTCTTCACCCAACTGTATACTTTTTCCCTTAACAGATGGGGAAAGAAAAAACAAATTGTTTCTAAACAGTGGTTCCAAAACAAAGAAGTCCCTGAAACAGGCAGAATGTGATCTACTGAAGAGTTTTCTCAGTTTCTTGAGGGGATTTGGAAACTTGTCAGCAGAATCTTAAGTGGGTGTGTATGTGTGTAAGCAGGGGCATTCTGCTGACTACAGGGGGCAGGTTCATCTCCATAGCACAATAAGAGAAAAAAGTAGGGAAGGATCTTTGTGAACGATCTCTGACAAGTCACTGTGCATGTCTTGAGAGAGAGATTTTATTAGAGCTCTAATTTTCCTATTTGCTCCTTCCTGCATGTGTTGGTGTCATACTATGATCAGTGTGTATTTGATCAGCCTCTCTAAATCATTTCTTAAGAGCACCTTAGAATTTGCTGCTTTCTCAGCTCAGAAAATATTAATTTATATGGATTGACAGAATGCAAAGAAAGATCCTTTGCACTTTTCCAGGACTGAACAAAGTCACTGCCTATAAATAACATAACCACCTCAATGGCCGACTTGGCAGTGAGAGGTATTTTACAGAATCCAAAATTCCTGTTTGATCTCATTAACAGTAATTTTATTAGCACCCTTCTGAGAATTTCAGGTGTCACTAAAGCCTCAAGTTTTTGGTTAATAGTCTTACCTGCTTAAAAGCAATTTAGATAATTGTCAAGCAGAATGGTTGGCACTATTTAGAAACTGTTCTGGTTTGGTCCTTTCCTCCTTAAGAGTGGTGACAGCAAATGTTACTTGGGCTTCAAGTGTATGAGTGTGCTATATGAGCTTCTTCTTTTATCTATTCTCTTTATTTTCTTTGGGAGATGCTTTCTTTTTGTCTTGGTTTGTGTGGAAGAATAAGTTGCTTAGAAGAGTAAACTCAATGGCAAAAACAACATATCTAGTGAAGAAGACTTGGAGAGATTCCAGAGGGGAACAGTGAAATGATTAAACTGAAGGCTGGCAAAGAGGACTTGTGAGAAAAGGTTAAAGGGGTTGGAATTATTTAATCTTGAGAGAGAAGACAGGAATAACTCAATAACTCTCAGGGAATTAAGGCTTATTATGTGAAGAATAGTCACCAACTGTTCTTTCTTTTGACACCTAAAATAAGAGGAGATGGAGATACATCGATTCTCAAGGAAGTGGAAACACACACACACACACACACACACACAGGGATCGCTCAGAGAAATGAGAAATGAGTAGCTAGCTGTGTGGTGAGATCTCCTCTCTTAGACATCTTTAAGAACACAGGAGGTGTCATCTGTCAGGTATGTTTGAAATTGTCAGCTCCTTAAAAATAAGAACTGAATATCTGTCCTTATTCATGGCCCAAGCCTAATACTGTGTTTGGCACATATTAAAATCTCAGTATATCTTTAACTAGATTAAATAGTATGAACTAGCTAGTTATATAATGGAAGCAAAATTATTTCCTGAACTAAAAGATCACACCTTACATATATATCAGGCTTAGTCCTAGTAATGTTGGTATAGAAATATTTGTCAATTAATAGTAACATAACAATAATTTCTTGAGCACTTCATGCCAAGGATATGTCTCATTTAATCTTTCCAATTAGCCATGTAAGGTGCACATTCTTACCCTTAGTGTACCTTACATGGTTTACATGGCTATCTCTGAGCCCCAGAGATAGAAAATAACTTGCCTGAGATCACATGTCTAGTAAGTGGCATCAATGGGATAGGAACTCAAATTTCTCTGATCTGTAGAATGCTTTTAATTGTCTGAAAAAGAGGCAGATGCCTAGGAGCTCCTAGGCTTCCATTGCCCAGATCCTGAGCTTCTGATCAGAATTTAGAAGTCCAGTTGGGTTTAGAATTGAGAATGCATGCTGAGTTAAGAAACTTGATGGCTAAATAGAAGTGAGACTGTTTTTCTATAGATCTTTATCAGATTTATTGGTTTTATACTGTGTAATCTTACAGTCTCCAGAAAACAAAATTTAACCACTAAAAGAAATTTCCCATGGAGAAGATGCTTGGATAGCGAGGCTTTGGTTTTCCTTTGGGAAGCAGCAAAATTCCCAGTGGTACTAGAAGTATATCAACTGAGAAGCAGAATGAAAGTGAACTGTGACTCAGGAGTCCTTGTTCAAGTCATGGTTCTGTGATTATCTATGTGACCTTAAGCAAGCACTGTGTAACCCAAATACTAATGGGTCCCCATATGGTCTAGTCTCAGGAAGGATTCATATTTTTGGAAATGCAATAAAACTGGAAAGGCAATTCAAATATTTACTGGGAGTTGGAGCAAGGAGGGAAGAACGAAAAGCAGACTAGGGATACTTATACATAAAAAAAATTTCCATGAAACATAATTTTCTCTATTATTCTGTACTTCTGTAAGTACTTAATTTGCACACTTATACAATAAAAACTGGTTTGTAAACATTTTCTTTTCCATATTGAAATTATTCAAAAGAAATCTTCTAAGGGAGAGCAATATATGAAATATATAAAAGCAGAGCTTCTCCGGTGAGCTTATGAAGCATCTGCATAGAGTATGGGGATCAGAGGGAAAGAAAGCATTTGGAGTGATCTCTTCCAGCTTCAGTAATCGAAGAAACCAGGAGAAAATAGATTCTGTCATATTTGTGGTTGTAAGAACTGAGCAGATTTGCTCAGCCACTAAAGTTCTCTTTTTGGCTAAGCCCTGAAATTTCCTGCGTTAAAGGGTACATAGAAACTACATAGAAAAGGAAGTCTATAGCTACTCTGATCACATCTCCTACAGATCCATGCTTGCTTATGATGTTAAACATCAAATTGGTTGCATGGAGGAACAAATGCATGATCTGAAATAAGGTTGGGAAGGAGAGGATCTCAGAGTTGTGGGAGGTCGTAACAGAGAACTTGACCTATGGGTCCATGGAAAGATTTGTGTGGGGGGGGGAGGGGGGAGAGGGGAGGATGTGACTCACTGAGGAAGCAGAAAAAGCCATGGGGTTAGAGTGATGTGTGTAGTAAGAAGTCACTGGGAGAATGGTGGTGTGCTGGAGCTGGTGGCTCATACTGGCTTGCAAGAGCCAATTATTAAGTATTCAGGAATTTTATGATCTTGTTGACATTATTTTGCCAATGGAAAGCCATTGAAGCATTTTAAG